TTTTCTCTAGCTCTTTCTTGTTTTTTTATTTTTTTCTTCTGCCTTATTAATGTTTCGCTTTTCTCTTAGGATGTTTCTTCAGCATTTTTACGGAGATAACCTTTTTTTTTAATATGTTCTCTGAAATTCTCAGGTATTTTCAGTGCTTTCTTTAGTGTTTCTTTGAGCTTTTTTAGTGTGTTTATTCTAGAAACTTTTGACATTATATAGTGTGTCTCTGTGCTATTCTGGCAATGTAAGATGAATTCTCTATTTGGCATTGTGGATCTTCTGGTGTTTGTCCTCAGGCATTTTTTTGGCATATGAATCTTTGGTGTTTGTCCTTGGCGTTATAAACCTTCTGGTATTGTCCTTGGGCATATTTGGCATTGTGTGTGAACTCTCTGGTTCTTGTCCTTGGGAACATTCAGCGTTGTGTGGTGAATTCTCTAGTGCTTGTCCTTGTACACTTTCGACGTTGTGTAGTGAATTTTCTGGGCATGTCCTTGGGCACTTTTAGTATTATGTAGTGAATTCTCTGGTTCGTGTTTTCAGGCACTTTCAGTGGTGTGTGGTGAATTTTTCTTGAACACTTTCGATGTTGTATGGTGAGTTCTTTTTCTTTGGTACTTGTCTCTGGCATCGTGTAATGAATTTTTTGGTGCTTGTTCTTGGGCACTTTCAGCATTATGTAGGGTGTTTGTCCTTGAACACTTTCAGCATTATGTAGTGAATTCTCCTTGGCAATTTTGGTATTGTGTGATGAATTCTCTAGTGTTTGTTCTTGGATGCTTTTAGTGTTATGCCTGGTATTTGTTCTTGGGCATCTTCAGCATTATAAATTCTCTGGTATTTGTTCTTGAATCCTTCAGTATTGTGTAGTAAATTCTCTGGCATTTGTTCTTGGGACTTTTGGCACTATTATGAATTTTCTGGTGTTTGTTCTTGAACACTTTCAGCGTTATGTGGTGAATTCTCCGGTGTTTGTTTTTGGGCACTTTCAGTATTTTGATGAATTCTCTGGTGTTTGTTCTTGAACATCTTTAGTATTGTGTGGTGAATTCTCTGGCATTTGTCCTTGGGCACTTTTGGCACTGTGATGAATTCTCTAGTATTTGTTCTTGAACACCTTCGGCATTGTGGTAAATTCTCTGATATTTGTCCTTGGGCACTTTTGGCACTGTGATGAATTCTCTGGTGTTTGTTCTTTGTCACCTTCAACATCGTGTAGTGAATTCTCTGACGTTTGTCCTGGTGTTTTTGAACACTTTCGGCATTGTGTGGTGAATTCTCTAGTGTTCTTAAATACCTTCAGCGTTGTGTGGTGAATTCTCTAGCATTTGTCCTCGAGCACTGTGATGAATTCTCTGGTGTTCTTAAATACCTTTGGTGTTGTGTGGTAAATTCTCTGGAGTTTGTCCTTGGGCACTGTGATGAATTCTCTAGTGTTCTTGAATACCTTCAGAGTTGTGTAGTGAATTTTCCGGCATTTGTTCTTGGCACTGTGATGAATTCTCTAGTGTTCTTGAATACCTTCAGCATTGTGTGGTAAATTCTCTGGTATTTGTTCTTGGCACTGTGATGAATTCTCTAGTGTTCTTGAATATCTTCAGCATCTGTGTTAAATTCTCCAGTGTTTGTCCTTGGGCACTGTAATGAATTCTCTGATGTTTGTTCTTGACACCTTCAGCGTTGTGTGATGAATTCTCTGGCATTTGTTCTTTGGCACTTTCAGTGCTATGATGAATTCTCTGGTGTTTGTTCTCGGTATTGTGTGGTGAATTCTCTGGTATTTGTCCTTAGGCACTTTTGGCACTGTGATGAATTCTTTGGTGTTTGTTCTTGAACACCTTTGGTGTTATGTGGTGAATTCTCTGACATTTGTTCTTGGGCACTTTCAGTACTTTAATGAATTCTTTAGTGTTTGTTCTTGAACACCTTCGGTGTTGTGTGGTAAATTTTTCGGCATTTGTCCTTGGGCACTTTTAGCACTGTGATAAATTTTCTGGTGTTTGTTCTTGAACACCTTTAGCATTATGTGATGAATTCTCTGGTGTTTGTTCTTTGTACTTTTGGCACTTTGATGAATTCTCTGGTGTTTGTTCTTGAACACCTTTGGCATTGTGTGGTGAATTCTCCGGCATTTGTTCTTGAGCACTTTTGGCACTGTGATGAATTCTCTGGTTTTTGTTTCTGAACACCTTTGGCTTTGTGTAGTGAATTCTCCGGCATTTGTCCTTGGGCACTTTCAGAACTATAATGAATTTTTTGGTGTTTGTTTTTCTTAAACACCTTTGGCATTGTGTGGTGAATTCTCTAGTGTGTTCTTGGCAATTTTTAATATTTTTTTTTGTGTTTGTTTTTGCAGTGTTTTTTGGTAATATTTTTAGTAACCAATAAAAAATAGTACTTTATAATAAAAAAAATTTAAAAAACTTAAACATTTTATATATTATTGAATTTGATTGGCTGATTTTTCATGTTCAGAAAGTTAGGTCAGATTTCAGGTTGCACAAAATTTTCTGATTCGCTGACAATTCGAAAAATAGGTCATGTGACCTTTATTCGTTTTAATTGGCTAATAAGCCAGAGATGCCTAGAAAAACCCATATTTTAATTAGTTTTTTTTTTATTAGTTAATGCTAAAGAATTTAGTCATAATTTACATAAACATCTAGTTAATAAAGCCAAATAATACAAAAAAATACTGAAATTTCTAATGTTGTAAACAATTATGTCAAAATAAAGCAACTATATAAGATTAGTTTATAAGTTAAATTATACTAATTGGATCCAATCTCTACACATACAATTCTGTACTATACCTTTTTAATATGGGTATATATAATCAATTTTTATTTTATTTGAGGTTAAATCTAATAAAATTCAAGTTATGCCAGTTTTTGCCCAGAATTATAAAAATATATTGATTTTGATTATGTCTAATTTTACTCAGAATTATACTTAATTTTGCTTAAAAATATATAATATACCCTAATAATATACAAACAAGTATAAACTCTAGGGTGTGGCGACTTAGTGAAGTGGTGGAGTTGTCGCACCCCCAGATGGCAGGTCTAGAGTTCGAATCCCACGGACG